ACCCAAATTTGGCCTACACACCCGCCGAATCAAGACGCCAGCGAGATATAAGTAGTGCAAACGCTTTAGTAGCGTCTATATATTAATACACTAAAAAATCTCACGATTATAGCTTTTGTACGTGGCTTAATAACCTCATCTTTTTTGTCGTCTGATCTTGTTGGGGTGGCTCGTCACGCGAAGTGGCTCGTCACGCGCACGGTTACTGTATAAGAAAACGTTGATGCCATGATAATGTTGCGCGACCATCAGGGTACACGCTGGTTCCGCGCGACAGAAACGTTCCGCCCCCTCTTTCTCTGTCTTACCGCCTGCCCTGCACAATGACAAGAAATTTTCGGGCGCTTACGTGCATTGCATTAGTAGGAGAAGGCGATAAAGTTTGGCGAAAGCTTATTCGAACTGCTCTTACTTCACGATTTTCTTTAAGGTAAATGATGAATAAAAGTAGAGAAATATGCACACACTGCAGCTGGGCATTGATTGTAACGCGAGTAAGCAGTGCTCTTTACAGCAGCACGTATAACCGGAGTATGATTATCATGTGAAGTCAACTTTGTCAGATTTCACTACTTGTTGTTTTGCAGTGTCCTTTATCATTGATTGCCTTCAGCATCATCCATTCCTCAAGGCACTACTGTGATTGCAATACGTGCCCATCCTCAGCACTTGATCGAAACTGACAAAGGCAGCCACGATACCACAATCATAGATATGTATGAGTGAGTTAACTCTTACCAGCGACTGGTCCATGAGATCAACTCCCAGTCGAGGTGCCGTATATTTCGTGAGTTGTGCACGGCGCATGTGTACACTGACACTGAGAACCTGCAAGCAGAATGCTGCCCTACACTTGATGCCCTTTGACAGATGTATGCGTCTAGAAGGTCATAGAATCCCACAAAATAAATTCCTAGGAGTGCACTTAATCATAAATCGGCATTTGATGTTACATCACCATGTCATTCCAAAGACGCGGCGAGTAAGCAGTCCACTACACGAAATCAAATGTCACAGACATAAGGATCTACCAGATCACGCACAAATTTTCCCAAATAGGGCATTCAGGCACTATAAGAAGAGTTTTTGTGAAATGTGGCTTTCTCGGCAAGCCATCGAGCCGACCAAAAGCATCCGAAAAAGACATCCCACCCAATACGAACATTTCGCTTGAGAACCATCGAAGACGATCTTTCCCGCCTCTCCAACCAAAACTTCCGCAAGGCGCCCCCGAAAAGAGTTATCGAATATAGATGGACAAACGCCATATACAAAAAGCACCCTCCAAAAGACTTGCCGAGATAAGGATACCCAAGGACAATATATAAGAGGCACCCTCCGAGACATTCCCCATATCCATCTCATCAACCAAACTACTTCTCTCACCAACTAAACCCAACTTAACTCAATCCCAAAACCTCAAAATGAACTTCTTCCTCCTCTTAACCTCCCTCGTCCTCGCCTCAAGCGTCCAGGCCAGACCCGCCGTCCTTGATACTCCAGCGGCAATGACACCCGACCTTACCTCAGGAGCTCTCCCCGAAGATATCACTACCTCAACCGTTGATACTCCGGAGGTGCCCAACCTCGACACAACGTCATCCGACGCTGGCTCCGGACTTTTGCCCGACTTTCCCTTCAAAGTTCGACTTCCTTCCCCCCAATTCTTTCCAACGCGTATATGACTAACCTCCCCCTCAGCGCCGCCAAACCTCTACTTCGTCAGGCTCAGTCACTGTCGGGGACATTCTATCATCCAACTCTGCCTCCGGAGCTATTTCCCAAGTTCGACTTCCCTCCCCTTAACCCTTACCAGCACACGCACATAACTAACCTCCTCCCAGCGTCGTCAAACCTCTACTTCATCAGGCTCAATTAGCATCGGAGATATTCTATCATCCAACTCTGCCTCCGGATCTATCGCCCAAGTTCGTCCTCCCTCTCCTCCCACAACGCTTTCCCTACACACACACATATATATATATATAACTAACCTCCCCACAGCGCCGCCAGACCTCCACTTCATCAGGCTCAGCCACTGTTGGAGACATTCTCTCATCCAACTCTGCCTCCGGTGTTCTGCCCCAAGTGCGTCCCCTCCCTCTAACAACAACCCTTTCCACCATACATGTATAACTGACTCTCCGCAGCGCCGCCAGAGCCCCGACGTGGACGTTGATACAAACACGCCATACGTCGTTACGCTGAGGTTGGATTTTGGAGATTTGTTCGATGCTTGATGTGGGCGTGTATGCGAAGTAGGAGCATTGCGGTACTCGGGTTCCAGTGTAACCAGCTGCTAAGTATCGTGAATCCGAGAGGGGGGACGGGGTTTGCAAGGAGGCGAACGGAGGAAAAAGTGACGCTGGAAAGCTCGCTCGTGTGGAGTTTCTTTTCCCGCTTCCCCTTGGATTACCGGGAAGGGGGAAAGGGAGGTTAATCTCGGCCGGGGTTTTCGGGTCAAAGATAAAGGGGGGGGGGGCTGATTTCGATGTATCAATTCTTTTTTTAATTCTTGGGTTGAGTATATACATAGGTATTTTTGATTCGCTTCTTGTAGGTTACATTTTAATCAAGGATTGGGTTTTTAAATGCTGCTTTATGATATGCACGCTGGCAAGTGTCGAGTTTGAGTGCTTGAGAGATGGACTAGATGTCTTTTGTCTGATTGGCAATGTGCACGTTCTAGATGACGTAGTCCTGATATAAGAAGAGCGATTTAACACTCCTGCAAACACTAACGAATACAGAGTGGTAATTTCACAGCATTCAATCACCAGATGCAATAAAAACCAGGTCAAAATGAACAAAAAAAGGGGTATTATTCTTCATCTATTTTTACAAAAGATTTCTCTCATGGTATCATCTCATCATTTCCTTTCACCCCAACAAATCATTATAGACATAAAACTTAAATAGCATGCTTTCCAGCACCGCAAGGTTGACCAAGGTGCTCATGACCACCATGGTCAAACCTGCTCATAAACCTCGCCGACTCAGCACCGCGCTTACGGAGGGTAGAGTTGGCCTTGGGGATACCCTCGAACGAAACAGCGTACTTGGCAACGGAGTTGGCGATGCTCTGGGTGTTGAGGAGGTAAGCGTCGTGGGCAAGGTTGTCGATATTGTCGCAGGCCTGGTGGTAGCATCCGTCGAGGGGCTTGCCGGCTTCACCGCCGAAGAGCTGGGCCTCCTCCTCGGTCTTGAGGACTTCGGCTCCGGTGAAGAGACCACCGGAGGGGATTCCGTTCTCGAGGAAGGCAGCGTAGTCGGAGCGGAGGGTAAAGAGGGAGGGGACGTGGGGAAGGCCGCGCTCCTCGTAGAACTCTTCAAAGTCCTTCTCAATCTTGTCGGAACCGGCTGCGCCGGAGAAGTTGAAGGCACTGCCATCACCATCGTAGATACCGAGGACGTAGTTGGGCGAGGCAATCATGTCGAAGTTGAGGTAGGCACGGATCTTGTTGGCCTCTGCGGTGCTGCCGCCGAAAGTGCCGTTGATGGTCTTCATGTAGTAGAAGGATCCAAGCTTGCCGAACTCCTCAGCGCCCCAGAAACCGAGACGAACGGCGTTCTTGATCTTGTACTTGGTGAGAGCAAGACCGGCAACCAGAGTACCAATAGTACCAGATCCATCATCGTTGATACCAGGGCCCTGGAAGACGGAGTCGGTGTGGCCACCAATCATGAGGACGTTGTTGTGGTCGCCCTCCTTTGTCTCAGCAATGACATTGTAGTTGGTGCGGTTTTCCTGGATAGCATTGATAAAGAGGGTTCCCTCAAGTGCAGTGCCGTTTCCAAGCTTGGCAATGAGAGCCTCTCCAGCCTCCCTGGTCATACCGACAGTAGGAGCGTAGTTGCCCGCACCTCCAAGTGTACCTGAGAGGGGCTGCTCTGGCTCATTGTTGTAGATGAGCGCGCCTACAGCACCAGCAGCCTTTGCTAGGGTAGACTTTTGGGCAAAGGGACAGGTGCCTCGAGAGATGAGTGCGTGTTGGCCAGAAACCGTAGCAGGGTAGTCTTCGGCGGCGCATCCCAGGTTGTTAACCTTGACAATGTTGGCGGTAGCATCGCCAGAGGGGCCAAAGGTCATGTAAGAGACGGGAATCTCTTCACCACCAGCAGTGAACTTGGTGGTAGCAGCGGTGAAAAGCTCAACGAATGGCTGCTTGTACACGTCATAGTAACCAGTGGCCAACAAAGTCTGGTACAACCATTCGGTGGTTGCGTTGTGCCCTGTGCCACCAAAAGCACGGTTACCGCCAGCTTCGTCGGCAATGTCTTGAAGCTTTTGGGAGCCCGCGAGCAGATCCTCAAGTTTGATGTCCTTGATCAGATCCTTGGGAGTGACGAGCTTCTTAGGCTTGTCGTGAGGCTTTCCAGGAGGCTTGCCGGGCTTTGTGTTTGGGTTTGGCTTGGGACCAACCTGGGCAAGGACAGGCGCAGCAAGCGCAACGAATGGAACGAACCTCATCTTGAATATTGAGAACGAGGGATGAGTAAAGACTGAGAAGGCTGCCGTGCCAGATGCAACCGGAATTGCATGGCTCTATATACTCTGGCTGACGTCCTCATAAACGACTATGAGGGTTGGACTAGCATAGTCGCGTGCTCCCTAGGCTAACCAGTTCAGGCAGCTGCTATTGCGGTCGCTAGTTGGCCACTTTTTGGGAACCGGGAAATGGGTATTCAAGGCATGCTGTGGGTTATTGGTGACGGGTAGCCGGGTGAAGGGCTGGGGGCGAAGGCGACGAAATTGATGAAGGTCGACTTGGCTGCGTGATGCTGTGTTGTATGAGGAAGGAGAATAGCCGCATCATCTCTCGGACACACCTAGCTCACGGCCAGACGACACTTGATTGGGAAGTTAGATGGCGGCCAAGAATTCACTCCCCGCCAAGAAACATCCTCCCCCCGTCAAATCGCCTTGGCATGATAGCGCCAAAATCAGGGCGGATGATAATGGAGGGGGGGCAAAACGACGATCCCGCCACTGGAATACTTCGAGAAGCTCTCGGCCTAGCAGCAGGCCGCTCTCATTTGGATCAAAGAACATGCAATGCGTGACCAAAATGGCTTGTTGTGCCAGTCCAAACTGAGAGCCTCGGTAGCCGTCACTACGCTACTACTACGGCTATTATGCGCTGGACTTGGCAACGGGTATATGATCAAAAAAGCAGGCAAGGGAGTAGAGCCGAGCATGTTTGGCCAAATTACGAATTGATAAGTCAAGCCACAGTGGCACCGGCCGAATACGACTAGGACCGATAGATATTTACAGAACCACAACGTCTCGATTAGATACAAGAAAGTCCAGGCTATCATTATTATTCCTTCTTTGCTTATTTGTCGAAACCAGCCTGCAATTTGACAACGAATGCGCCACGCTCCATAGTGTTGACTAGGATGTGGCCACTCTTGAAGAGGGCGTAGCTCGACCAAGTTCCAACAAAGTCGACGCTGCCGCCTCCGGGTAGGTTGTCATCCTCGGGGTAAATATCTATCATAATTAATTTTTGATGTTCTTCAATAGCATGGTGGCGAAAACAACTTACCGAAGAAGCCGACTTCCCTAACACCAGCACCGGTGGGGTCCTGGGGAATCGAGCGGACATCCAAGACACGGAAACCAGTGCCGTAGTTGGACTGGTATGCGAAACCGTTGGCAACATATTGGTTGTGGTCAACACCCTTGGCTCCGCTCCTGTACAGTCCGGTTTGCTTTGGTGCACGCAGAGATGAAATGTCCCAGATGTAGGTGATGGGGTTTCCTGGGACACCGGGGCCAACCTTGTCGTACTCATCATACTCGTCGTCGAGAAGCAGGTACTTCTGGTTCTTGGGGTCCAAGACAGCACCCTGGTGGGTGTATGCTGCACCCTCGTAGGAAGTGACGGACAGGAGAACAGGGGCCTTCTTGTTCGTTACGTCATAACTGGGCTTTGTCAATGCTGCTCATTTGATCCAGAGTGATAACTTGCATGGAAAGTGAGTCCTCATTGTAACCGTAGCAAATCTCGTGGCCTTCAAACTGCGTGTCGGGGCCGTGGTAGATAAGGCACTGAGCATCGTGCACGTAGCCGTCTTGCGACGCACTTGAGATACAATGTCAGCTGTGTATTGATGACGTCCAGATTTGGCAGACTTACCATCCAGGGGTGGTGGGGTTGGAGGGGTCGGTGATGTCAATGAAGATGATACCGGACTTGCACTTGTCGGTCCTGGGCTGTGCTCCGACGGCGTAGATGAAGTTGGTTTCAGGGTTGGTTACGACGTTGTGAGCTCGGCCGCTGGGGAGGCCCTTGAAGTGGCCAGTGAGATCCGCCGAGTTGCTGAAGAGCTTGGGGGAAGCCGGGTTGACGGTGAGCAGCTTCTTCATGTCGAAGATCTGGATACCGTGTCCCTGGGCCTCGCTACCGATGATCATCAGGTTGTTCTGGCCACGGATCTCGCGCCAGGTGCTGGGGGTCGAGTATGCTGGAAGGCGTCCAAGGTATACAAGTTTGCCCTCCTTGTTGATCTCAGCAAACGCAGCACCATCTTGCTGTCCGATTGCAACAAACTCGCGACCATCGTCCGAGGTCCAACCTGGAAGTCATGAGCATTAACTATTCTGGAAGGGTATGCATATCACTTACCCCACGATGACGATCCGACACCACGAGTACTGCCAAGCTCGGCGTGTGACAAGAAGTGGAGGAGATCGATCTAGTCATTGGTCAGCCGTTGCTATCCAAATAGGGGACTATTTTCACTGACGTTCTTGCACTTGAAGACATCGGTGTCGGTGATGGCAGTTCCGTTGATGCACTCGACCTTGTTCTTGACCTCGGCGAACTGGGCAGAGTTGTACATGCCCGCAGCCTCTTGTTTGGCCCATGACTCCTGTTACTGGTTAGCATCAAAGCCGGGCATAGCGGAACGGGGTCGTGACCTTCTTCAGGGCCATGTTGTTCTCGTGCCTGATGCCAGAGTCATAGAGCTGGGCAGCCCTGAACTCGTCTTTGGGCATTTCCTTTGCCGCCGCAAGGGCGGTCAGCGAGAGGAGAGCTGTGCGTAGAAACATGTTTGCGGTGACTTGAGAGGCAACGAGACAGCGGTGCTCGAGGCACTACAGGCCCACGGCCAGTCTTAAATGTCTTTTGTCTGCTATGGAGACTTCACACATGGCAAATGACTACAATGCAACCCCTATGGCAAACCAGGTAGGTCTAGAGGCTACCTGCCCCCTTTGGATGCTGCCATCGGCATGGTGACCCATGGTACGCAATGGTGTGGGTGCACAGGCGGTGCATGGTAAGGATACGAAGCATTGTATAGCCAGGGCAGGCAGGCCTATGGAGAGGAGCATTGGGGCTTCTAGATTAAGCAAAAGCTTGACTTGCGGATGGCTGCACGGTTCGGGAAGGAGGCTTCGTCTAAGATGTCTTGGCTGCAGTCGATTCTTCCTATCCGGCGGCGGAACAAAACTGCCAAGAGCGCGATCGTCAAAACGCCAAAGATAACGCGTTGCGCGCACGATCCCAAGAGGGGCAATTCCAATGTTGCATCGCTCGCATTGCTCCCAGACGGCGTGTCCAAGGGCAGAAAGCGTGATGCCCGCACGCACCAGCCTTTGCACGCCAAGATTGTTGAGAAGCACTGCTTTTGGCTGGCAATAACTATGCTTGCCGTGTTGCCGACATGTGTTACCACCCAGCGATGTCATGAGAATACGAATGGGAATGGCAATGGTAATGGGAATGGGAGTGCATCGCTGTCAATATCCTCCGAGTTCCACGACGTGGCGAAAATCTTCGCTGGCCCAGTGTCGCACTCTTCACACATACTAATGTACGCATGTAAGTATGTATTTGTAGTAGTGTGAGTGCAAAAGCCATGCTGTCCGAATACCTCGTGATGACTGAGTTTTCTGCCCAATGGAACTGCACATGAGTTTTTTCTTCGTCGCTGCATCGGACCACTGCTAATTGGCCCAGCAAACAAACATCCAATAGAAAACGCCCCGTAGCGTGGACGAACCATGCCGATTTGAACTGGTCTAGCAAGTCTCGTCCATTTGGTGCAGTCCAGTCTATTCTTTCGATCGTGAGCCGGTGGGGACGGCGGGGCAACGTTGGGCCGTCACGTCGCGTCCGCTACCGACCGTCGCGGGGTTCCACTGTTGCGTCACATGTCAAAACCTGTAAACATCACACCCAAACAACACAAACAAGACCCTGAAATAGCTCTTTAGAGGGGGGGCCATGCCCATCAAATATTCATTATTGGATGTATTTACTCATAGAAGCCGTTAATGGTCGTAGTCTCGTCCGCAGTGGCGTATCGAGCTCATCAGATCTTCGTCATGCCTGGTGCTCTACCATGCATTCACATGGAAGCCTCAACCTTCTTGAGGTGCTCGGGGAAGTCCTTCCAGTCGTACATGATGGCCGCGCACTTGGTCTCTTCCGTGAGAAGCTTGGCCATCTCTTCCATCTTCTCCTTGCCCTCCTCGATGCCGTAGATGCCGACATATCCTATGCAGGGAATACCGGCGCGCATGGCAGCCGTGGCACCACTCTTGCTGTCCTCGACCGTCACAGCCTCCGATGGCTTGACACCGAGCTGCTCAGCAGCGTACAGGTAGATCTTGGGGTCAGGCTTGGACGAGGGCGGGTTGAGCGAGGTGGCAGCCGAGTAGACGTGCTCGTTAGGGAAGAAGTGGTCGATGCCTGCCTTCTCAATCGAGGCAACGACACGGCTCTTGGCTGAAGTCGACACAACGGCCATGGGGTAGCCCTGCTCCTTGAGCCACTTGAGCTGCTCAGTCACACCAGGACACTCAACCGCCTTCTGGCTCAGCTTGCGAGTGACGGCGCCCAGTTCCTGCTGAACGTAGTCGTCCATCTCCTCGGGCGGCATCTGGAAGTTGTGCTTCTTCTGCAGGCCGTTGAGCATACCGCGGAAGTTGTGGCCGACAAAGTCCTCAAGCAGCGTCTCGGCCGTGTACCTGGCGTCGATGTTGTGCTTGCTGAGGACTTCGTTGGTGAGGTCAGCGCAGGCCTCGAAGGCATAGCGCTCTGACTGGACGAGCGTGTTGTCGCAGTCGAGCATGATGTACTTTGCCTATACGTGGGTTAGCGGGGTAGTGGCGGGGTACATTTTCAAGGTGGGGGTGCGTGTTTACCTTGCCCATGGTTGCTGTGGTGTTCTTGTATCGAGGCTGGGTGGGTTATCAGTGCTGCAAACTGGCTGCTCAAAGTGGCCTGGTAAAGTGTTGAGTGTGGAGGTAGGAAGAGAGAAGATAGGGGCTTTAAGGGACTCGTTGGGACTCGAGTAAATAAGCAGCAGTCACCGTGAGCGCGCCTGCCGGGTGTCGGGCATGGGAGGGCGGCGGCGGTGCAGCAGCGGGCAGGCGCACCTACGTCATTGGCCAATCTGGTGGAGCGTGCGCAGGCCATTAGTGGGACGCATCTAACTTCTCTCACCACTTTGCACTCACTCACCTTGGCTCCCCCCCCCACCACGCTCGCCTGTCTGCAACATGGTGGGGTCGCCTTTCTCGCATCTTCTCTGCCGTACGCCGGCTGTCTTTAACCTGTGTCCGCTGCCTTCACTGTCTTTGTCTTTGACTGTACTGCGGGAAGTGCGGTTTCGCTGACCTGCTTCACCGGATGCTTCGTTTGCTCACTTGGGCACTACGTCTCCATCACCAAAATCCACGCGGCCCGACATGTCACCATGGGCATTGCCTCACCCCGCATGAGCAAGTCTAATGCCTCTGGCTCGGCCTGCGCTGTGCGCAGTGAGCAGTTCCTGCATGCAGGCAGTGACAAGCGTGCATCCCCGCCTGCGTCTCCATGCAGCCACGAATGCGGAGAGGCTGTTGTTTCGTCAGTACTTGGTCCTTGAAATCGTATTCAGGCATCATCACTTTACTCCGAGGCATGGTTGAGCACCGCATGCCCAACCACGGCATAGATGAAACATCCTGACCTTGTCCAATATATCGGACCTGTGCCGCCCTCTTCCGGTCGCTTATTGTTTGCAGTTGGTCGCCTCGCGTATATCCGTGCATATCAACTTCCCCTATAGATCCGGAGTCTCTCCTCGGGACTTTTACCTTTACAGCAAGAGCCCAGTTGCTCCTACTCTTGACACGCGTCTCGTGAATCGGGTCCGTTGCGCCCTCAACGTTGCACTGGCCATCGCTGTTCAGAAGTGCACCCAGCCGATAGGTAAACATGGCTTGCACGAACTCTTATGGTTACACCATACGGGCAATAGCCTTGATACAAGATACACATGGTGCCCGAAGTTATTCACTTCCAAATGGCCAAGGCGTAATTGTGAGTGGGCAAGTACAACTAGTCCCAGAGTAGTGCTTGTTCATGCATGTCTTCGTGTTGAATCATTTCATTCATGTCATTTGCTCTTCATGCAATAGATGCTGATAATACATTAGAATACAGATGCAGGTCTTTTAATATCCCTCCCCGTGCTCATTAACTGAGCTCAGCGCTCTATCTCTTTGAGTCCTCCTTGGCCTTCTCAGCAAGCTTGGACGCCTCGTCACCCTTCTTTTGTAGAATGTCTGCGATCTCCGAAACGGCTTCCTTCAGAAGCTTCTGTGCCTCGTCGCCGTGTTTCTGGGCCACTTCTTGAAGCTGGCTCAGCTTGGGCAATATCTGATCACCGCCGGGAATCTTCTTGAGGTACTGCTCGTAATCGCCAAAGCCACCATCCTTGGCCTTGTCTGCGACGCTCTTGATGTATGACTGAAGGTCGCCGGTGTCGCCCTTCTCGACGGCCGACTTGACGCGCTGATACAGTTCTTGAACATTGCCTCCTTTCAGGGCATCGGCATTCTCTTCCACAAGCTTCTTGACTTGTGGGTTCTTGTCAAGATAGGGCTTTGCCTGCTCCATGCCCTTCTTCCACACCTCATCACCCATCTTGTTCAGCTTCTCAATCTTCTCCTGTACTATGCTCCTGATCTTCTCAATGTTACCGGCACTCATACCAGTCTTGACAACGTCACTGATCTGATTCCAGGTCCTGTCGACTTCCTTCTTTGCTTCAGGGCCATACTTGTCGCCGTACTCCTTGAGCTTGTCGATGTTGCCGCCCAACTTCTCCTTCAGTTGTGGGTGGTTGTCCATGATTTGCTGTGAAGCGTCGCCGGCAAGGTCTGCAATGCGGCTCATATGCTTGGTAATTACATCCCAGGTCTGGTGTGCAGTGACAAGGCTCATGTCGCCCTTGCCCAGGACTTGTCGCATCTCATCGTATGCTTCGCGCACAATGCGGTCCACTTCGTCGCCGTGCTTCGCTCGTATGGCGTCGAGATCGTCAAAGGCAGAGTCAACGTAGCTCTTGGCACCGGGAATGAATGCAGCATAGCTCTGAGCGGCTTGGCGAAGCCATTGTAGCGCCTCGTTTGGCTCAGGAGTCTGCTCCTTGATCTTTTGCGAAGCCGACTTGACGTAGCCTTTTGCAGTCTTGGAGGCCACGACAACGTCCCGGGCACCCGATTGTCTGTAGAAGATATAGCCGACGGTGACAGCGGCAAGAGCACCAGAAACAGCACCAACTGCAGCATGTGTGCCAACACCCGAGTTACCAGAAGTGGCTGTCTGGGTTGACTGGAAGCGCGGATGTTGGGCGCAGTACTGGGGATTTGCTACGCGAGCAGCCGGGCGACGGGCACAACGAGCCGCAAAGCGTGCATTCTGTGTTGCTTGTCTTGAAAACATTTTGAGATGTATGTGACTCGGTCTGGTTCAAATGTTGTCGATGAGGGTGTTTTTGAAAACAAAAACGAGGAGAAATTGGGTATCTTGATAGGAGGAGTGAATTGGAAGGTGTGGAGGAGGACCCGGAGCTTTAAAGGCCCTTGAAATCTCTTGTAACAAACTGCTCGTCGTCCTGGGAGTGACGTCGCCATGATGATGGGCAGCGCTAAGCCCTGGGGAAGTCCGGGAAAGGCTACTAGGTCCCGCAGGATCCACCGAGCGTCATTGGTCCGTCATATTGGTAACCATTCAAACTCCACCACCCCGCCTTTTCTAAGTCTCTATCCAGAGTAAACGAATTATATAGCGAACCCTCGTTGATCCGTTGCAATGATGCGGTTTGACATGGAAAACGTGGAATTTGATCTAGCGCCTCTCGGAAAATGTTTAGAATCCCACCTTGTTCGAATGGAACGACCTACCCAACTTGCGATCGGTTCAAGGAGCCTGGACCAGCAACTTGCTAGTCGCATGCGCGCACGTGTGCATGCGTTCTTGGTTTTCTTTTCTCTCCTCGTTTTCGCTATTTCACTGTCACATGCCCTGCTTCGTGTCTGTTCACAAATTGTTCCAGACCCAGCGAGTGGCTGAATGATGTCACCAGGCACGCTGCTCTCCACGTTTACGCGACGATAGTTGTCGTATAGATCCGTGCATATCCTTAGCCCGACGAGCCGAATCAATATGATCATCTAAGCTACTTTCATCACATAATAGTGGGATTGAGATGAGCCATTGGGATCAGCACCAGTTGTGGTTTGCTAGATTTCCAAATAGCTCTAATCCGAGCATTGCAACCATTCAAATTTGAGGCTAAATAGCAACCAACGCAGAAAACAATTGCTGTAGAAGATCACACACGTCAAATTTATGCATACATACCTTTGAAATATGCAATCATGATGAAGAAGTCATGTCAAAATGTTCGCACAATGTTTTGCAACTTGATGCATGAGATGGTCGCGTGAATTCGGGATGACGTAACATAGCTCCGTTTTGACGCGATAATGTCGCGCTTCAGCGTGTGCCCTGTCTAGCCGTCCGAACATTCACGCCTCGGCCCTCGAGACTGGCAACACTCGTAGGACAAAGCGACAACACCATTCGGCCTTTAGGGATCTTAGACGCGTCCAGGAGAGCTCCGTAGACCTCAGCTTGCATCACGTGCTGATGCGCCATCACCTCGGCACAACCGTAGTTCCATAACCCACCACCCCTTCTACGCCTTCAAACCACGACAATGGCACCCTCGGAGACGGCGCCCCTACTTCGTCAGGAATCGATTACCTCCTACGAGCCCGACGAAGAACATGAAGAAACCGCAGTACCTCGAAGCACATTTGCTCGCAATCTCGGTGCACTGGACGGCTTTGCTCTACTGATAAGCATTGTTATCGGATCTGGTGTCTTTTCATCTCCAGGACCTATCGACGCAAACGTCCCATCGCCTGGTGCTGGTCTTCTAGTATGGCTTGTCGGAGGGGTCCTTGCTTGGACGGGTGCGCTCACCATGGCCGAGCTGGGGACTGCGTTTCCTGGCGAGGGCGGTATCCAACCGTACCTTACCTACATCTACGGCGATGTGTTTGGGTATATGGCAGCTTGGTCTTGGGTCGTTGCAACTATGCCAGCCACCCTTGCAATCCTCAGTATTGTCTTTGTTGAGTCTATATACTCCAGCTTGGGTATCAACGAACCTGATCCGCCCTTGACTCATAAGCTGCTGTCTTTGCTTGTTCTGGTCTGCGTTACGACCCTCAACTCCATCAGTACCAAGACGAGCACTCGGTTGTCGAGCTTTTTTGTCGCCATAAAGCTGCTCACAATCTTTCTGCTCATAGTCGCTGGATTGGTTGCCGTCTTTGTTTTCCTTGGAAAGGGCAAGGACCTAGGCGGTGGTAATTGGCATCAGAACAACTGGTTTTCGCCACGCGACACAGTACTGCCTGATGGCTCGCGATTTGACTGGACCAAAGTGACTACGTGGGAATCACTAGGCTTCTACAGCACAGCCCTGTATGGGGCTCTATGGGCGTACTCTGGATGGGACAAGGCCAATTATGTTGCCGCTGAGCTTCGCAATCCCAGCCGCCAGCTGCCACTTTCCATCAACACTGCTATTCCAACCATCATTCTTTGCTACGTAGCGGCCAATGCCGTTTACTATGTTCTACTTCCGTGGGAAGTGGTGTCGACAACCGACGCTGCTGCTGTGGTAAGTATCGCAGAAAGTCCGGCGTACCTGAATCCTTGCTGACTCTGGGTAGACGGCCGTCACCCATTTTCTAGGAAAGGGTGTAGCATACTTCGCTACCACCCTGATATGTCTAGTCATTGCCGGTTCCGCACTCGGCAACTCTTTTGTTGCTGGAAGAATGACCGTAGCGGCGGCTAACAACAACTGGTTCCCACATATCCTTGGTACAGTCGGGTATGTCGGCACAATCAAGGTCCGAAGCGATGCCGAGGAGAGTGAACCAGCTGACCTTGCAATGGACAACGGAGAGTCGCCAATGTAAGTCATGTCCATTGCCTATACTAAACGCCGTCTGATCATCACTAGCAACGCGCTGCTTCTCAACACTGTCCTCTCTGCAATTTACATATTGCTTGGAAATATGCGTATCTTGCTCACACTCAATGGTCTCGCCGAGTATGCATTTTTCTTCCTTACAGTCCTTGGCGCAATAATTCTGCGCTTCCGGGAACCAGAGCTGCTTCGACCCGTAAAACCCTTGATCCTCGTACCCATCGTATTTGCTGTAATTAGCGGATTTGTTGTCATTCGCGGTGCTGTTTTTGCACCCATACAAGCTATCGTCCTTGTTGCTATATGGTGTATTGGCCTCGTCTTTTACTACCTGAGGCTATGGTTTCTAAATAGAAGTTAGTTAGACTATATCAAGCTGCTGCATGCCATTGGAAAATGCGATCGTGGTAGAGACTTCTGAAGACGCTAAGCCATGTTGCATATAGGGGGTATCCCAACTCAATATAATAGCTGCACGATTCTGGATAAGGTTAGAAACTATATTTCTTCTGTGTAACACAAGTAACTTGGCACTGCTGAGATGATTGGTTTAACACTACTGTTATCCGACCCCGCGCCCTGTCTACTACTCGTGTTCCGAGGTAACTTGCTAGCTTAGCTCACACATAGGAGCTGAAGCCTGTTCTTGGGGTTCGGATGACGCTGGTATAATATACCATCAAAACCGCACTAGTAACTATCCATGTCTCATCTTTGTATTCACTCTCGCTAACATCATGGTCGTCCGTCCGTATTTCACCAAAGAAGGAAAAGTACTTCCTTTCGACAAAGTCTTAGAGCTTGAACAAATCGACGAGTCGACATTCCGCTCGATAACCAGAAGCTACTCGGCAACAGGAAGAGAAACCGGGAGTTATGGGGGTCATATCTTTGCGCAAGCTGCATGGGCTGCAGCACAAACTGTGAAAGAAGGATTCCTAATACATGCGAGTCGCAACCTCAGGCTCAGCTGTGAAAACCTAGCTGACTGGCCTACCAGAATATCACCGGCTGGTTTAACCTTGTTGGAAACCCCAACGAGCACTTCACCTACCACGTGGAGAAAATCCGCGATGGCTACAGCTACTGCTCTCGCAACGTAACCGTGACCCAAGCCGCAGCAAAGGGAAGCACGTTCACATGCGTATGTTCTTTCAAGCGCGAAGAAACCGCATCAGTCGATGCCCAAGCGCACATCAACCTAAAAGAAACGTACCACGAAGTACTGCAAGACCGAGAAAACGAACCAATGCAACACTCTGTAAGCCCTAGTAACGACTGCGCCGAATTCGTCGAAGACTACCTCCCAGTCCATCCCGAGCACTTCAACCCAGCCCCCGGCCTGCATTTCCGAAAAGTCGAAATGGCAGCCTACAACCGCACCCGCGCACCACTCGACCGAAAGCAACTGAACTTCTACTCACTGCGAGGATCGCTCCCCTTGCCTACAGCACCGTTCCCACCTCCGACGGATCCCAAGAAAATGAATCTGACAAGAGAAGCAAACCTGCACGCTTGCACCCACCTCTACGCCTCAGACTGCCAATCCCCCCAGATCGTCCCGCGACACCTCGATAAACCCCGCGACTTCACACACATGGCATCGCTGAGCCACAGCGTGATTTTCCACACTGGCATTCGCGATCTGATGATGGCTCCTGAACCGCGTGTCGATCATCCGGACGCTGATCCCACACTTTGGGAAGATGGGGCTTTGCCAGTGTGTAATCTGGAGGGGTACGGGAAGGGAGATCGGGATGGCAGGAAGTGGTTTGTGCAGGAGTCGTGGGTTACGCGGGCGGCGGAGGGGAGGGCGCTGTATGTGAGTCGCATGTGGGATTATGAGAGGGGGGTGCATGTTGCAACTAGTTTCCAGGATGGGTTGATTAGGTTTAGGGAAGATGCAAAGTTGTAGTGGTTTTTTTCTGAAGGGTGGTGGAGGTGTTGGTGAGGGGGTAGGGATGGGTAGGTTGTAGCTTTGTGGACTGTAGGGACTATGGGGTTATGTGTAAGATTTGGGGTTAAAATTGCACTTTCACTAGATATGGCTAATATGATCGGTTCCCATTTAGTACCTGAGTGGTCAGAAAGAATGTTGCACATGCATATTGTGCACATATACATGAGACTTCGTGGCGTCGGAAACTTTCCATGCGTAAAAGTATCCGAACTACAGTCTTAACGCAGCGGAGACTTATCCATACTAGAGCCAGCTTGCTTACACGAAGTCTCCATGTCATAAAGGGATAAAACCCAAGACTAGTCTCTACAATCCGCCCGTCATTACTCGAAATATTTAAACCCACCTCAAGCCCACATCCAAGGCACTCCATTGAACACTCTCATTATTCAACGCAACCCTCTACACACCTCACCAAACCAAATCTAGCAAGATGACTTCCTCAGAACCCTCAATGAACACCCTATACTCCTCCTTCGCTTCAAAATACGAAATCTCCTCCGGCGGCTGCACCCGCCAACTAGCCACGCACCTCCTCTCCCTCCTCCCGCCTCTCTCCAACCAATCGCACATCCACGACAACGCCTGCGGCCCCGGCATCCTCGCCCAAGAACTCCTCTTCCAAAACCCCTCCCTCCACCCTGCTATAACCTGTACCGACTCCTCCCCCCAAATGATCTCTCTAGCCCGCCAAACCGTCCCCACCATCATCACCCCTTCAGGTGCCGCAAACCTCTCCTTCCACATCCTCCCCGGCGACGCTCTCGGACCCCTCCCCTCTAATTCCTTCACGCACTCCATCACAAACATGGGCATATTCTTCTTCGCCGACCCCCTCCGCGGCGCCGCAGAAATCCACCGCACACTCACCCCCACAGGAACCGCCATCGTCACGACTTGGAAAGCCGCAGGTTACATGCCTATCCTGCACCGCGCGCAAAAAGCCGTGCGGCCCCAGGATCCGTTGTTCGAGTGGCCGATTGCGAAGGAGTGGTATGAAGCGGAGCATCTCCGAGAAATATTAAGGAAAGCAGGGTTTGGAAGTGTGGAGATGAGCGAAGTGACTGTGCATTTTGCGGGGCGGAGTCTGGAGGAGACGTGTGGGTTCTTGGTGGATATGTGGAGGCAGGTTGGGCCCAAATGGACGGAGGACGAGTATGCCGAGTTTGGGAAGCAGCTTATTGTTGAAGGGAGCAAGGAGGCGGTTACGACGAAGAGGGCCGTGAATGGGAAGAAGGATGCGGAGATTATGGAAGTGGTTGGGTTTCCTATGGTCGCGCATGTCGCCGTTGCAAAGAAGTGAGGTGACTACTTACGCTCTTGCGTATCAAGAAAGAGGTAGATGTAAATTCTATCAACACAAATCCTATCGAGTTCACATATGTTGCAATGCAACATGCAAAAACAACTGGCCCGTGTAACCACTACTCAGCGACTGATACACTGGCAAAAAAAAGAACCCTGGGGTATCTGCTGAAGCAGACGAATGCTGATGAGAGTGGGACTCGAACCCACGCCACTTTCGTGACCAGGAATATAGTGTTAAGAAGACCTTAACCTGGCGCCATAACCAACTCGGCCATCTCACCGTAAGGTGTTTTGATGAAAGTCAAATAATTTTATTCAGATATATCTTAAGATATTCTAGGAAGGCAAGCGGCAGTATCTAGTTCGTGACCACCAAACGAGAAACCCTTTTTGCAAAGACAATCTGTCAAAATCTGTCGTGCCTAAGAAAATTCTGCGGTCAATGTGGGGTTGCGGGGTACTAGCGACTTTCGCTTCTCAACGGCCTGTGATCGCAGCGCAAATACTACCACCAAAACCACGAAAGTCAGAACAGCCATAGCGACAACTACTTACGACAGCGCTATCAAAATATGTATACTAAGTTGTTAATCTATGATCTATATCTATAGCTTGCTCTTCAAGTTCAATTGCTCAGGTCGCCACATCTCATTCAACAAGCGACTCGCGTTAACCATCTCGGGTCTGCACTGATCCAACGATGTGATACCCAGCAAGCGCATTCCGGTATCGAGCTCATCCGCGAGTACTAATCGAAATGTTAGCAAAGCCGTCTTATCCAATCTCTCACTTGTTCAAACTTACTGTCAACACATTTCTCAACACCCTTGGAGCCATAGGCACCAAGCGCATAGAGGAATGGCCTTCCAACACCGACTGCCGTAGCACCTAGGCACAATGCTTTGAGCACATCGTTTCCGTCTCTCAGTCCGCCATCAAGGAAGATTTCTAGTTTACCGAGGACTTCTGGGCAGTAGGTGCGGATTTCCAGGAGTGTCATGAGTGAACTGGGCGCAGTATGCAGTTGTCTGCCGCCGTGGTTGCTAAGTAAGATACCATCGCATCCGTGTTCCAGTGCGAGTTTTGCGTCTTCTGCGCACTGGATGCCCTTGAGTACGATGGGTCCATCCCATTCTTTACGGACCCACTTCAAGTCGTCCCATGTCATGTACGGAGTCAATTGGCCTTGGACTGGGCGTCCGCCCATGGCAGGTGCAAAGGCGTTGTCACCGCCAACCTCCCACTCTCCGGGACCTTCATCGGCAAGGCCGACTGCCGCCGCCTCCTCAGCCTGAAGGCGGCGGTCTGCGGTACGTTTTCCGAGAATGGGTGCGTCGACTGTTATCCACAGGCCCTTGTATCCGCAGCGCTTTACAATGCGGATGAGTTCGAGAGCCTTGTCCTTGTCTACGGGCATGTAGTATTGGTAGAACAGTTGCGTCGGGCTTTTATTACCAAGCCGCTTTTGTTCGTCGACATAGCTCTGCATGATTTGCTCGCTGCTCTTGGAACTTGCCGTGCTGATAAGCGCATGTATCCCTTTGCGGACTGCTCCTCGTATCATTTCTGGCTCGGCACCTTCGTGGGTCGCGCCCATTGTTCCCATAGGGGAAATGTAGAATGGATACGGTGAGCTGTGTCCGAAGATCTTGCGGCGCGCGTCTACTTCACCTACACTGCGCATTACACGTGGACGGAAACTTATGCGACCCCAGTCATCGATGTTGGTTTTGAACGATGCACCCGTGTTCGCGTAGGCAGAGGTATAGACGTATGACTTGTGAGGGATAACTGCCTTTGCCACTGGTTCGAAGTCGGCTGTCGTGACGCAAAGACTGACATGAGGAATTTCATTGGAGTTGGGATCCGTATCTGACGGCTTTTTGGAATGCGTGTCTTTGAGTTGACGAAGTTGACCAAATGTGCTTGGATCAACGGGTCCCATGAGAGCTTCCTTCGGTAGGTAATCCTCCAGATAGCTCAGTGGATGATACTTTTTGAACTCTTCTGTCGCGTCCTATTCAATTGTCAGAAAACTCTCCCATGATGCACGGCTATACACTCACCGCTCCTGCATTCTTCAAGATGATTGGTGCGCCGCCTGGATGTTCTGATAAGAAGTTGGTCACATTGTACGCCTTTGAATCCAGCACAATCCAACAATCATTCTTGGTGTGGTGCTTTGCTACATCTGCTCCGTTGATTCGCGACATGGTTCCAGCTTCTTACACTCGGCGTGTATAAGTCGAGATCTTATCTTGAAGTTTGGCCAACGGCAGGGAGGGTATTTGAGGTGGAGCGGCTAGCACGGATATGTTACTTATTCGGAGCTCGGAAATATTCCGTTGCTCGCATGCGGGGTACTGCGTGTGGTCAGTGCGTGCAACAGTTCAGCCAATGCAACACTATCTGCCCAATCAAAATATCCACCCACTATTTTCAA